TGTGTGTGTGTGTGTGTGTGTGTGTGTGTCCAAGAACAGGTGTGACTAATAATTAATCACTAGAAACCGTATATAACAGGTAAAAAAAATATGCATCCGTCACGGCCTAACCCCAAAAAACATACATCAGTCAGGTCAGGAAGGTGTACACAGAACTGACTCAACACAGCCAGAAATAGTCGTAAGGTTGTCTTGTCATCGACTCGTAACTACCATGAACTGACCTGACCTTCCTACGCCATGAAAGTGATATTATCGTCAGTTTATTCCACGATGTCTTATAAACCCGTGTGTCAGGTGTGTCAGGTGTGTCATAATGTTTACCTAGTTTGTTTGTGTCTTGGAGGAAGGTTACACAGATTGCATAGTCAGATATCTCGCCTCTTGTGATCTTCTATGTAATGCTGTAATGGTAGTCACGTACTGTAATATGATAGTCAGGGTTACAAATACCTTTCGTTCTGTAGCTTTTATGTAATGTTTAAAAACGTCATTTGTGTTTATGTAGTGCAAATGATTACAAAGTTGGTCACGTATCAACTCAGCAGGGCTCTTTACACAATGTTTACGCACACACACACACACACACACACACACACACACACACACACACACACACACACAATGTTTTCGACACGCACACACACACAGTTTATGACACACACACAGGCCTGCAAAGTCAAGTTACTCGCTCGGTGGCCTGTGTACACTCTTGCAGAAGGCGTGCAGGGTGAGTAAGTGCCCCCACGCCCTCCCTGTTTGACCAGGGCGTGGCTGACCGGTGGCCTTGGTCCAGGGCGCTCGAGGGGTTTGTGTGGCGTTCGCATTTCCCTCTGTCTGGACCTGTGGAAACGCCTATAACCTGACTCCTCTACCTGTGGAAACGCCTATAACTTGACTCTTTCTACCTGTGGAAACACCTATAACTTGACTCTTTCTACCTGTGGAAACGCCTATAACTTGACTCTTTCTACCTGTGGAAACGCCTATAACTTGACTCTTTCTACCTGTGGAAACGTATAACCTGACTCTTTCTACCTGTGAAACGCCTATAACTTGACTCTCTTTCTACCTGTGGAAACGTATAACTTGACTCTTTCTACCTGTGAAACGCCTATAACTTGACTCTTTCTACTGTGGAAACGCCTATATGACTCTTTCTATGTTGAAACGCCTATAACCTGACTTTTCTACCTGTGGAAACGCCTATAACTTGTCTCTTTCTACCTGTGGAAACGCCTATAACCTGACTCTTTCTACCTGTGGAAACGCCTATAACCTGACTCTTTCTGTGGAAACGCCTATAACCTGACTCTACCTCTATAAACGCCTATAATCTGACTTTTTCTACCTGTGGAAACGCCTATAACACTCTTTCACCTGTGGAAACGCCTATAACCTGACTCTCTACCTCTATAAACGCCTATAATCTGACTCCCTCTACCTGTGGAAACGCCTATAGCTTGACTCTTTCTACCTGTGGAAACGCCTATAACCTGACTCTACCTCTATAAACGCCTATAATCTGACTCCCTCTACCTGTGGAAACGCCTATAACCTAACCCCCTCTACTTAGACACCTATAATCTGACTCTACCTCTATAAACGCCTATAATCTGACTCCCTCTACCTGTGGAAACGCCTATAACTTGACTCTTTCTACCTGTGGAAACGCCTATAACATGACTCTACCTCTATAAACGCCTATAATCTGACTCCCTCTACCTGTGGAAACGCCTATAACGCCTATAACTCATTCTAAGACAGCTCCTTAACAATAAATAGGTATAAACGCCTATAATCTGACTCCCGTTACCTGTGCAAACGCCTATAACTCATTAAGACAGCTCCTTAACAATAAATAGATTTAATGTTCCTCTCCTAAATAATTGGTTATGGGAGAGCGCCTCCAATTGGGCCACTTATGGGAAGACGGAAAGTTAGCGGAGATAAAGATGGCGCCTGAACTACGTGGGGACTTTACTGTAAATAGATATGTTTTCCGATTTCCAGTTAAGGGAGAGATATATATACCGTGCGGGTACTGGAGACTCCCTGCCAGACGTAGGAGCGGGGAGGAAGAAGGGAAGGAGGAGGAGAGGAGGAAGAATAGGAAGAGGAGGAAGAAGAGGAAGAAAAAGAGGAGGAGGAGGAAGAATTGTCAATATTTTAAGTCGATTTTGAACAATATTTTTCCCTTACATACATATTTTTTTTCTCCCTGTTAACTGGTGTGATGGACCAGCCAGAGAGACTGAGAGATAGAGACAGGGCGAGATAGAGGGACAGACAAAGAGATACACAGACAGACAGACAGAGAGATCTCAAGTTCGTCAACATTTTTACCTGCAACAAGTAATTATGACGCAGCAAATGTGTTGTTCTCTCTCTCTCTCTCTCTCTCTCTCTCTCTCTCTCTCTCTCTCTCTCTCTCGACTTAAGTGATTGATGTTTTTCAAGTGTGTGTGTGTGCGCGCGCGCTACTATAAACGTGTAGACCAGATTGTGTACATGTGAGCGCGCGCGCCCCCGCACGTGAGAGCCAGGTAAGCGGAGCTAACGAGGGAAAACACCTGAATGACCGTGACATAGCTCCTTCTTCCTCCCAATTACCTCTTTCTCTTCCTCATTATCTCTCTTTCCTTCTCTTTGTCTCTCTCATTATCTCTCCTCTTTGTCTCTCTCATTATCTCTCCTCTTTGTCTCTCTCATTATCTCTCCTCTTTGTCTCTCTCATTATCTCTCTTCTTTGTCTCTCTCATTATCTCTCCTCTTTGTCTCTCTCATTATCTCTCTTCTTTGTCTCTCTCATTATCTCCCCTCTTTGTCTCTCTCATCTCTCCTCTTTGTCTCTGTGATTACCTTCCTCCTCCTCCTCATTATCTCAGTCTCCCTCCCTTCCTATTTCTCTCATATCTCTTATTTCCCACATTATTTCCGCCCCTTAAGTCCCCACAAATGTTTACTTCAATTTCTTTAACTCTTCACTAATATCTATTTATATATCCACTAACCTCTTATCTAATAACTAAATCATAAATCATTTTTTTATGTATAATTTACGTCTTATAAGTAAATCCCGTCAATGCTATAGGTAAATACAGTATATATATTAGATAGTAATTAAATCATTTATACAACCCGGGTATATATATTAGATAGTAATTAAATCATTTATACAACCCGGAACTAAACAAATAGAATAGGTTGACGGAGGTGCGATAATCCCGACGAATTCTTCCCCATAAACTTGATTGCTTTATAAGACCCGGTGACCGTTTATTTCCCCCCCTCCCTACCCCTGTCCGCCCCTGTGATGTGGCTACAGGGACTCATTACTACCATATAAATAAATAAAAACCGTCTAAATTGACCGTCACAAATAAGATAACTGTTTATGAGACAGATATTGGAGGGGTGTTCGACCGTGAGTGGCGCGCGTCGTCGACTTTCGCGGAGCTGATTTTAATTAATTTTTTTTTAGTAATGCGTTTAAAGGATCATTAGTTATTATTATTTTTATTATTATATTGTGGCATTATTATAATTTTCTTGTTTTTATAATCTTGTCTGCATATAGTGTTTTGTTGATATATAATAAGTAACAAAATACCGTAAAATATCATCTTATTTTTAATTCCATACATACATACACACATACATCTGACCTGACCTATTGAATACCTCTATACCTGTTCATTTCGTGTCACTATCCAATAAATGGATTTTTTTTTCCTCTGGGTATTTTCTTGTCTCGTGGGATCCCGTCTGTGTTTCCCTCAGTCTAATACAGTGTTTTTATTTGTTTTGGTCAGCCACTGTAGGTTAATGTTTTATACAGCTTTTACTTGTTTATGTGAGGTTAAGGTTTTGTGTGTGTGTGTGTGTGTGTGTGTGTGTGTGTGTGCAGACTTAAGCACGTCTACACAATGCCCCCCCCCTCAGCATCAAGAGAGCAAAGTGTCAAGGTAGACTTGTGCTGCCCCCTCAAGGATAATCTCCTGTGATGACTTGACACACACACACACACACACACACACACACACGCGCGCGCGCGCGCGCGCCACTTGCCCCCACTGTTTGTCTTCGTGACTGGCCAGATAGACCCCATTCCTGATAAGTCTTGGTTTTAATGGGCCCTAGTTTATATGAGATCTCTTTCTAATGGGTCCTATTTATAAGGGGTCCTTCTTCTAATGGGCCCCAACTAATGGGTCCTATTTATAAGGGGTCCTTCTTCTAATGGGCCCCAGCTCTAATGGGTCTTAGTTCTGATGGATTTTAGTTAGTTCTAATGGGCCCTAGTTTTAATTGGCCCTTGTTCTAATGGGCTCTACTAATGGACATGAGTCTTGATGGTTTTAGCCGGGTTGAGGTTTATCATAAATGGGGCCCAGCTGACCTTCACCCATTACCTGCGTTATTTAATGGGTTGTTTGAACCCTTATGTCATACCGTAACCATTAGGATAACTTTAGTCAACACGGAGAAGTTATTTTTACCTGTATTTTATCTCTTAATTGGATCACCTGAAGCATCTCCACTCCAACTTATTTCACCTGTACATCAACCTAACCTAATGTTTACCTAACCTAACCTAATGCTAACCTAACCTAACCTCACCTAACCTCACCTAATGCTAACCTAACCTAACCTAATTTCCTCTACCCCCAAATAGCGTTAGGGTGATTAATCATTAGGTGAAATAAGCTGGGGTGGTGATTCTTCAGGTGATCCCCTTAATCTGTACTCGTGTTAACCCCTTGAGTACGATAAGTTAACCCTTTGAGTACGATAACTTAACCCCTAAACATCATCGTGCACAAGAGAACAGGTCACGGTAATCAAAGGGTTAATATTTATGCATAACCTCTAGATCAACTTTACCTCCACTCACCTGAAATTTATCCTATCACATTTAACTATATATCTTGTTAAGTATTACGTAAATTTATCATTTTTTTTAAACATATAACGAGATATTAACATTGGCTAGTTACCTCATTGGCTGTGGAGTTGGCTAAATATATCTCTTGCCTCACTGTTCGGTCGCTTGTGGAAAGGTCATTGTCAAGAAATATCCATTGGTAAATATTTGAGAGATGAAGCAGATAACAGCAGGCAGGCAGGGGGTCGTAAAGCAGGTACAGCAGGTGATAAGGTGAAGCAGGTCGTCCTCTTCGTCGTGTACACCACTAGGGGTTCACTCACCACCAGCAGATCCCGGAAACCACTACACCAAGAGGCTTACAAAACCCTCCTTTATCGTGTTATATTCTCCCTTATACGCTCCACCAACACACGAATAATAATCCACTAGAGGCCTCAACACAGTGTCTAAAGGTTCACAAACAAGAGAGTCATTTTCCAAAGGTTTAAGAATGAGCGAGTGTAGAGACAACGGGAGGAGGGGGAGGTGACACGGAGGGGGGGCGCTAAGAGACAAGTCGAGACACACACGTCCACTCCGTACCATGGCCGGCAAGGAACTACTACCCGGGGAGGGGAGCGGCGGGGCTTACTGGTTGGCTCAAGGTGGCCACAACACCACCACTCGGACTTTGGCCCCTCCTCCTCCTCCTCCTCCTCCCGCAGCTTGTGCCGTATACCGCTACACAAGCTTCACGCAGGTGCCGAGTTTTTATAAATGTCTTCTCATGCCTCTGGTGATTTCCCTTTCAACCACCGTGATTGAAGAGAGATGTAAGGTATCAGGCTTGATTGCTAATATATGTATACAGGTGTGGATCAAAGGTATAGCGGTAAATTGACAGACTAAAGACAAAACGTGATGAAAAAAAATAAAGAATAAAAACAGTACCTCAGTTAATCTTACCCAGCCAAGATGAACTAATATTTACAACGAAGAGAAGATAAATTAACCTAACCTAACCTACCTGCCCCTACCTGTCTAGACCACCAGAAGGTAAACACAACCATACCCCGTCTACCCCGTCTAGTGGGGGGGGGGGAGGTGAGTTGATGTCTAGGGTTTATCTGTCTCTGTTAGCTCGAGAATTGGTGTAGGGTGATAAATAATTACTAAGGATTCATATATTTTATTTCGTGTTATCAGATATTCCTTCTCACTGGCTGTGTGACTGGCTGTGTAACTGGCTGTATGATTGGCTGTGTGACTGGCTGTTTTACTGGCTATGTGACTGGCTGTGTGACTGGCTCTTGGAATTGGCTGTGTGAATGTTATGTCGCGAGAGATTCAGGTGGTATTAGAATCTGGTGAAAGAATACTAATGTATTCCTTGGGCGCCTCGAGGCAAGTATTATTGTGTGAAGGGCTTGGGTAGAGTAAGGAGGTGAGTATGAGGGAAGAGGGGGAGGGAAGGGTGGAGAGGAGGTAGTGGTGGGAGAAAGGTGGTCAAGTCCTCATCTACAGGTGTTGATGGGGGAGGAGGAGGTGGAGAAGGAGGAGAAGTGGGAGGGAGAAGGAAGAATGAGGATGTAAATATCGTTCACTCTGTGATGTCTAGAACCCTCAATGCCAAGAAACTCTGTGACTAAAAGCAACACAGTTGGTGGAACACTTTCTGTAACCTAACACACACACACACACACACACACACACTATGCTACAGCTAGGAATAAACAACCATTAATTCCTGTCGTGGTGGCTATTCAAGGATCCCTAATTTTTTTCGGCTGCTAGGCATAACGAAGACACTACGAGTGATGTGTAAATAATAAGACGTGAAAAGAGAGCAGAAATGATAGCGCAGAGGGACGCAAAAACACGTATAAAGCCGTATGTAGAAACTAAGAACTGTAGTGAAGATGGGTGTGTATGTATATTACATGGCCTTCATGTTTGTAGCATATACATGTATGTGCTGTGTGTATTGTGTGTGTGTGTGTACATGTGTCAATGTCAACTCAATCAACTATTATTATAAAAGTACCTTTACAGAGTCAGGTTCACTGTCTCAAGGTGTTAAGCAGGTGAACAGGTGTTGAAATACCTTTAGGTAAACACACACACCACTCCCTCTGCCTGGTGCACACAAATTGATATATAACTGTGTCTGTTAATATTATTATTATTATTAATATTATTATTATTATTAGCCTATATTTATTGTTATTATTATTATTAATTTATTTTTGTTATTGATATTATTTTAAAGATTAGTAGTATTAATAAAAATAGTTATTATTATTATTATTATTATTATTATTATTATTATTTGTTGTTGTTTGATGTATTGTAGATTATGTACATATTTTTTTACGTAATTAAAGAAAATAAGCTATATCATACCCAAGTAAAAGCATATATATAGAGCTAACTAATCTCTCTCCCCAAAAAATTAAATCAGGTGGCTAAATCTTAAAATGGTTTCTTCAAAATTGAAATAACACCCGTAACATTCTCGTCACTTTGATTGTCAACTCTTAAATGTGAAATGGCACTTAAAGTACGTTTGTGACTCGGTTTAGTATAACAACATCTCTAGTAACATTTAAGTTACAGGTCTTTAAAAGCCCAAATCAATTGAGATTCTCTAACCTAATTATGAGGAAATATTACAATAAGCCAAGTGCAAGATGGGTTACCACCTAAAAAGGAGACATATGCATAAAATACTAGATTCCTGGCTGGGTGGTATCTGGTAACGTCCACACAGCTGGCGGCGGGACAACAACTTCTGTCCTTGCACGCAGTGACAGCATCAACTAAAGAAATTGTACAGCAATATAATTAGAATAATAATTTTTAAAAGCAAACAACAAACTAATTTAATATTTTATTCATTTTGGTTTCTGATATAAATTTACGATGCAGTCGGTTCATTAATCGCTTGGAAAATAAATATCTTTGACTAATGAGTCTATTTCGTGGTGTATTTTTAACATTAATAATTCTACATACATGCTCTCTCAACATATAACAATATTGCCCACTCTTATATAGCAAAAAATAACTCTTCATTTTCTCTTAGCAAACAAATAACATTTTATTCCTTCCCTTGCTTTAACATGACAAAAATAGAAACAAACTAAGCCCAATATATTTGACTGAATCATTTAAAATATATCTGTCAAGCAATACATGCTTCCC